CACCCCGCCTCCTCGCGCTCCGCCCCCGCGCGCTGGGCACGTCCAACCCCGCCGGCTGCCGAGCAGCGACTAAAAGGACGCGGCTCCAGCCCTGTGCGGTGCGCCGCCTACCCTGCGCTGCTGCAACCACTGCCCCGTCCCACCCCGCCTCGCTCCGCCTCACCCCTGGCTGGCGCCGCCCCTGGGACGCCACCGCCTCCTCTTGCAGCGAGGACTCACCTGAGATGGCGAAGCCGCTGAAGGCCACGCCGAAGGTGAGCGCCCATGTCGCGCCCTTGGCCGTCGTGGAGTAGGCCACGATGAGGAAGAAGAAGCCCTCCATGCCGAAGCCGCCGCAATTGAAGAGCTTGCGCACCATGGTGGTGGACATGATGCCGCGCTTACGCAGCGTGTCGGCCAGGTGGCCTCCGGAGGGCACGATGATGGTCATGACCAGATGCGGCAGCGAGCCGAGGAAGCCCGTCTACAAGCAAAGGGGCCGTAGTGTCGTATCATGATTGGGCATCCGCGCCTACTTCACACCCGAGAAGGCCCTGTCAGGGTGTCGCTATTCACCTCTGCTATCTCCAGGTTGTAGCGCTCCTGCAAGAAGGACGCCTGGAAGAGCACCAGCATGTAGAAGTTCCAGGAACGGCAGAAGTTGGCCACGATGATGGCGTACACGGGCATCGACGTGAGGAACGAGGACCAGGGCGTCGTGGCGATGGTCGGCACGGATTGCTGCGTCGTGCTGCCCAGCGAGTCCTCGATGTACTTGAGCTCGCTGAGCGAGATGAACGGGTGCTTGGAAGGGCGCTCGAATGCCATCCACAGCCATATCACGAACCAGATGACACCGAGGATGCCTGCGAGTGCGGGCAGTGAACCAATAGGTGTTGACTATGATCATCTCTACAAGTTTTTTGACACTCTTACAGAATAGTTCACGTCAAGTTGTCATCACACACAATAAGTGTGTGCGAAAAATCAATCTCACGCTCGTTTTCGCTTTTAGCTAGACCCTGTGTGACTTTTTGCCTTGCACTATTTCTGTTGAAATGTCACACACTTCTAGTTAGAGATGAAAGCCCGGATCGTCCCTCCATGGTGCACATTTCTGCACCTCTTTGGCGAGATTGGTCCATACTTACCGTACGCGTAGAACGAGGCCCGCCAGGAGATGGCGCTGGTGAGCAAGCCGCACAGCGGCATGCCGATGACGATGCCCGCGTAGGAGCCGCAGAAGGCCAGGGTGGCGAGCCGCGAGCGCTCCAGTGGCGGTGCCCAATGCCGCCAGATGCCGTGGCATGCCGGGTACGTGAAGCCCTGTGGGCCAGGCGCCGATAAAGGAAATATTCCAACACGTTAGAAAGAAGTTTTTCGTTTAGTGACACATCACTTCTGTTTGGAAAACACTGTCGACTCATGCAAACGTCCAGGTGTCCGCCCAACAAAACTGACTGACTACTTTGTTTTGCAGAAGAGCGAGCTTCTACTTTTTTATTGCAATGGAGCACGTGGCCCACGTGACCGACTGCGACTGCTCTCCGTAGACTTCGACTTTACCGTCGAGTGTACTCCGAGTGTACAAAGTGTGTCCTCTAAAAATTTGAGTCGACGACCCCTCTCACGTGACCCGAACATCGTCTCTTGATTGCTCACGATATAATTATTGTGTTTTTGTTTTTCTGCGCGACTCATCTTACATTCTGATAAAAATATACTTTCACAGACACGCATAAAATCAGGACCTGTTTATTATTATAAAGCCAGTCGTGAGTTATTTTCGGAATGAATACTAACTATTCGGTGCGGCGTCCAAAAGGCGACTGGCCTTGGTTTTGGTTATACTCATGCCCCGCTTCCTCGTGAAGACAATGTTTTCATATGTTTTATTTTTTATAATACTTTTGTAGGTGGCCGGCTGCCAAGCGGCATGACGTCAAGCGTCATGTGCTTTGTAGTGGAATGGCTAAATCGCGGTCGCAAACCCGATCACGAGCACAGGTGCCCTATAAACACAACTAGGAGCGAACTTTAATTGGGGGAGCTCTTCTGGAATACTACCTCCACCCTCCACCTCCTCAGCTACCTCCGCAATGCATTTTCCTACTCTAGGCCCGCTCCCGCGTCGCGTAGACCCAGGGCCGTAGGTAGTCCGGCTACCACCGCAGCAACACCACGCTCAGAAAACCTGATCTGAGTTGTGTTTACTGTATTTATTATTAATTACATAATTCACATTTGGACTTTGATGGTCCCGCAACAAGAAGGAATGACGACGCCTTTGCTGCTATATTCTCTTATTGTAATACTACTTGTCAATTCGGTGTGAAAGGAAAATTAAAAAAGGAAGACATCTACTGTGACGCACGCACAATTAAATTTTTTATGCTAAGCTTAAAGCTTTTGTTCTGATGATTATAGGGCCTATATCCCCAATGAAGAAGGTTGAACAAGAACAGTAATCCAGCATGGAACCAACCAAGGACCAGGGCATGCAAACTTAACATTGTTTGGAAATTCTGATGTTTATATCTCTTAAACGGTTAGAGTTAGAAAAGTTATGAATAGGATAACTTATTTTCATTTTGAAACAGTCATCCCAGTCGTCTTTCCTTATAAACAAAGGTGCTTTGTTTGAGGAATTCAGAGGAATTCTTCAGCTTTTCTTCATTCTGAAACAAAACTTTTTTTTAATTTGCTGTGTAGGCGCAACTTTTGCGTTAAAACTTTTACACAAGTGTTTGACATTTTATCTTTTTGTGCGGAATGACGAACTCTATCTGCTGCCGTCAGATCCCGTTGTTCTCTTTTCCACCTCCGTATTATACAATATCCCACTTGTCTCCCCCTCTGTCGCTTCCTCCCCCCTCCCCCTTTCCCCGCCAATGATCATCCACGACAGTCTATAGTGGAAACATAAATGCGAAGCCATGCGCGGCCGCCGAGTTGGAGTGGATTTCATGTGTATTAGCGCACAACACGCTATCGCACAAATCCGTATAGCGGCGCGGCTACCGCTCCCCTAAAGGGCCCACCCCGCCCCGCCGGCAATCCAGCGCGATCGCGGGGGATTTGCGCGTGGCTCTTAAACGGGCGCTCGGTTTGGAGTGGGCTCTGCTCTGCCGGCCGGTTTCCTCCGGCCGGGGCTCGGCTCTGGACCGCTCACCTCGACCAGGCCCTGGCAGATGCGGACCAGGATGACGAAGGTCGGGTGGATCTCGGTGGCGCCCGGCACCAGTAAGTTGAGCACGGAGGAGGTGACGATGGCCAGGCCGAAGATGCGCGTGGCCGGGTACTTGGAGGCGAGAAAGCCGCCCGGAACCTGCGTGAGGAGGTAGCCCCAGAAGAAGGACGAGTCTACCATGCTCTCGGTGGCCACAGACCATTTTTTATGCGGCAAGTCCTGAAATGAATAGTTCAGTGAACTGTTACGAGATGTAACAAAGAAATGTAAAGCTGTCACTTAAAACAAAACTCGATTTTTAAATTATTTTTTTTAATATTAGAAAGTACCAAGTAAACGCTGGTTAAGTGTTTTCTGAAAAATTTCGGTTTTTAAGTTGTTGTTGTTTTTTTTTTTTTTTTTTCTTTTAATTAATTAAAAAATATAATATATCTCTTTCTTCCCCTCCCATTCTAAGTCCTTACCCTTCCGGTCGGCAGGTGCGCTGCTGTGTTTGTTGCGTTGTTCAAAACTCCCAGGCCGTGGTCGGCTTCGTCCGTTTCGTTAATCTGGAAAGGAAAAGCAAACGCGCGAGTCACAAGAAATGTATGTCGCGCCGCACAATAACCATTTATTTTCTTTTTCGCAGAGAACATCTCGTGTCCGGTCTTCTTGGGGTGCCGCGCCATCCTCCCCGGGCCCCAACGCCACCCCTCGCCCATGATCTCCGGCCGCCCCTCCGCCGCCACCACCCCGCGACGCTCAGTTTACTCGAAACTGGATTATCGACAAAACCTTTCTGACCGTTTTATTCCATTTCATTTACGTCTGCTTCCATTACCGTTGGCGCCCGCCCCGCCCGGCCAGAGCGCGCGCGACGCCCGGGGGGTTGTTTTGTAACAATGCGAGAAAAGGGGGAGGGGTGGGGTTGGGGGAGGACGTTTAATGCTTGTCCCCATGGCTAGGCTAATGGCTGGTGTTACGGCACCGCGGGCCGGGCCGGGCCTCCTATGATTTACGACCTCTATGTCACCGTGGCGCACCGTGTGGCGTGGCGTAGCGTAGCGTAGCGCGGGCCCGCGGCCGGGCGTTCGCACCGTCTGGGCGACACACACTCTATCTCCCTCCCACACACGCACGCAAGCACGCGCGCGCCCTTCTCTCTCTCTCTCTCTCTCTCTCTCTCTGTATGTGTCTTCCCCACTCCCTCCCCTTTTCCCTTTTGACACAATCAAGCAGAAAGTGCAGATAGCCCCGCCGCCCCGACTTGTGACATCCGATGATGGATTTGTCGGTGGATGGTCTGTGATGGCTCCAGCGAGACGCGGAAGGCTTCTCTCTGGAGCTGGATAGAAGAGGGTCCGACGCTGCAGGAGCCGAGGCAGCACCAGACTGTTAGTTATTAGCCGGTAATCATTAGGCTCCTCTGCGGTTTTCACGTTTTCACTCCCTGCTTTTTTTTAACGGTGTGCGTTTCGTTTCTTTTATTCAGTGTGGTTTCGATGTGGTGTTTACCCCGGCCGGGATGAAGCGGAGGCTCCTCTGTATCTGGAATGTTGTCCCGCTGCTTTTGCGGGGTGGACGGCTCGGCGGGGCGGAGGCGGTGGCCAGCGCAGGGCGCACGAGAGAAACGGACGTCTCAGGCGGGGCGGAGCGGGGCCGGTCCAGCGACTCAAAAGGAGCAGAATAAAGCGAAGGTCCGAAAGGGGAAATGACAATGGATGGGATAAGGCCCCTGCCTGCAGGGAGGGAGCAGTCCGGCCAGCAGGGCTTGACGGACCGACCGACTGTCGGTCGGACGGGCCGGGCCCTAGAGCCGCCTCGCCAGACCCCGGGCCAGGCCCTCACTGCCGTGTCAGAGGTCATTTGGCGATAAGCGACGTCATCCACTAAGTCAGCCGTCACCTCCGCCCCCCGGACGGCTGCTGGCTGGACGGACCTCCAGAACTCCCCTCCGTTTTCCTGACTCTTTCTGCTCTGCCCCGCTTCGTCGTCGTCGTGGCCGCAGTCGCGGCAACGACGTTCCGTTTAACGGTGTCCTCTGACTCACTCCCCGTCCTCCTCCCCTCCTGCAGTGAATCAAACGCGAACATGCGCGGCGATGCGTTGCATCCATCTATCCATCTCCGCTCACAGAGAGAAGCGGAACCGAAACAAAAAGGCATGAGATGTGAATATAAAGTCACACCCCCCCCTCTCTCTTCCTCCGCCCCTCTCCCACCCTTCTCTCTCTCCACCTCTCTCTCCATCTCTCTCTCTCCATCTCTCTCTCTCGCTCTCTCTCCCTCCCTCGCGCGCGCGGCGCGTGCTGCACGCACCACTGACTTGAGAGGGAAATAGGTCCAACACGTGTCCGTGTATCGGAGCAGTGCAAGATTGTGTGTCCGTCGTTGCACTGCAAAATAATGGAACCTAGTATTATACTTTTCCTTTTTCTTTCAAACTTTTCCCGCCCACCGCAACCTCTTTTATTTCTTTTTCACTCGTTTTTTTCGGTCCCCTGGCGCTTTTGGCGGGTCGTTTTCAAATCAGTTCGTGTTCGGTGCCGCCCGCCCCTTTCCCCTCCAGTCTCTATTAATTTAAGACGCCTCTCCACTTGCGGCGCGCTGCGGTTGTCTGGGAGTGGCGGGGCGTAGTGGGCGTGGGCCTGTCTTGGCAGCCCTCTTGTTCTCCATGTCACTGCTGAGAGGAACGCCTGGGCGCCTGGCAGCTCCTCAGACAGCGAGGCCAAACGGGGTGGGTGGGAAAGCTATCGTGTATAATTGTAATGATTTTTGTATCTCGAATATTACCTTGCCTATTATATCGAGAAATGGTGAAACGGTTTGTTCACAGGGGTCACCAAAACCATCGGGGGCAAGAACCTCTTCATAGCCTGGCAGCGGTGACTTGGTGGTGGCGCCTGTGGCTCTGGAGGTCCCTCCTTGTTGGGTTTTTGCTCCGGAGCCGTTCCGCCCGAGCCGCAGCCGCGCTGGCGGCTTGTGAGGAGTTTGTGTGGCTTCACAGTCGGTTAATTAATACTATGGCGCGCTTTGGGAGCAGAGCGACCACCACCGTCCAGCTACACTGCCAGGAAAAAAGTATCGAAACAACTCAGAATAACGCAATTTTTAAAGCAAAATTTTTAAAATTGGCATTTTCACTGGGACCCCAGAAATTTTTTTTCAGTGATCAGACATGTAAGGGAGAGAATTAACCACCACGCGCCGCCGTGGTGCGTGTTGCTTATGTCAAAGATTTCCCCCTGTGATATGACTATTATTATTCTCATTGTTTTTCATGCCCCCGCCCCGATCAACAAGTCGCATAACGCACCCGTGTGACGTCACGCGACGGGGGCGGTCGATGATAGAAATGATACTTTGGGAAAAAATATGTGTAAGACTTACTAGAATTTGTTTTTGTGAATGTAACAAGCAGTTTGGAATTGTATGTACTGATTTTTTTTCCAACCACCTAAAAATTCGTTGTCGTCAATATCTAAACGCATTCAAACGAGTCAATATTAAAAATTTGTGTTCTGAATTACACTTTTCACAGTGCAACACGTCACGCGACTGCTGCGACCGGTTCTCCGCTCCGCAAAGGTCGTATTTGGGTAGTGCGAAGTAGGTGTGCCGAAAAATAAAAATTAGAGCCGTGTAAAGTATGGTAATCATTTTCCTCATCAGTAGATGCCTATTAGGCTGTTAGGTGCCGTCGTGTTCTCTTTTTTTCCCCCTCGTATGGGCGTGGGCAGCAGCCGCACGCACCGGAGAAGTTGTTACTTGATACTACTTTTCCTTTATTGTTTCCCTGTTATGGGACTCCTATACTGCCAGATTTTTTCACCTGACACGTTTCCTTCTTGTCGCTGAGGAGGCGGCGCGGCGCACGGTTAATATACTAATAGAGAGACGCAGCTGGGTGGCGCTGCGGGGGTGGCGGAGGAATATACAGGCTGATACAGGCAATTAGCGGTGGCGCGTGCCGGGGCGGGGCGGGGCGGGGTGCGGCGGGGCGGGGCGGTGATGGAGAGGCTGCCGAGGGCTTATTGCCGGTGGCTGCGAAGCCCGGCCCGCGGGGGGGTGTTATTAATTTGTATGCGTGCGATGAGCCATCATACCCTCTGGAACTGCAGCTTGGCCATCGCCATGTTGCACCGCATCCCGAACGAGATCATGAAGCCTGTGAAGGGAAAGAAAGTGTGTCACAATTAGAGGCTTGCATTTACTCTTTTTCTTTTTTTGTTGTGATTATGGGAAAATCGGGAAAAGAAGTCGTGGATAAAAACGACATCTTTAATGTTTCCACTGTGAAAAATAACTGTGGGTTTTACGGAAAAGTTTTCCCTGAAACGCGTCTTAAATTATAATTAAAAATTGTAAAAGAAAGCACATTATGTTTTGACTTCGACGAGAAAGTTACACATATATCGTAAATTACAAATATATCGTAAAGTTTTCACAGTGTTCAAACTCTCGCAGAGCAATTCCAATAAAATTTAATTTTGAGTCTTTTTATTAAGTAAGAAAGCCTGAGTTACATAATGTCGTCCAACTTACCCACGCAGGTGAGCACGGCCACGGTGTAGCGCTTGCTGAGGCAGGGCAGCTCGGCGCGCACGTACTTGTCGATGTGGCGCAGCTTCGGGCGCTCGCGCTCGGGCAGCGAGTCGGGCGTGCCGCCGCCGAAGCTCTTCTCCTGCAGCGAGGTCTCGGCCCAGCCGCCGCCGCCCATCCCGCCCTTCTGTGGCAGCTCCAGCTCCTCGTAGCCCTCCGTGCGGACGTCCCCGCCGCCGCCGGCGGCCCGGGCGCTGCAACAACACGCCACCAAATGCGGTCAGTACCCTTTGAAATTTCCCGCGGGTTTTTCAAACGATCCAAACTTTGAAACTGTTGGTCCGCTCCTAACAAATATTTGCAAATATCTAGCGTTCGAAGTTTGTTATATAACTAACAAACATATTTTTTATTCAAGAAGAATGTGAATATTTTTATCGGCCAGGGTAGTTTAAAGTGGGGCAGGAGGAGAGCTAGAGCTCGCATTGCCGAGGTTGCTCGCGCACTCTCCGCGGCTCCATCCTTCTCTGTCCTCGATATGGACTTGAAGGGCGGCCTGACACGGCCTTGAAAGAGGACGAGAGAGAGCGAGAGTGCAGTCGCCTGTGCTGCGAGCACTTCAGCCCTCCGATTCAGTGGTTTGCTCCTCTCTCTCCATCTCTCTCTCTCCATCTCTCTCT